AGTTGTGGGTTTGCCCATGATGGAGCCTGTTGGCCCCTCTGCATCGCTGCATGTCCGACGCGCCCCTCCATGTCACTCTCTAGGCCTCAACCCCACGGCCCCAGTGCTGAGCTTCCTGGGACCTCATCCCCTGCCCCTCTACCCTCAACGCATTACGGCCAACCCGGCTGCTTTCCTGTGGGCCCCCACGGATCTCCCCGGAGGCGTTGCTGTGGCCTTTGCCGATTGAATGTTGGCCTTGCCCTGGGGCACCGCGCACCCGGGCTCGCTTCTCTGTGCTCCCACGGCCAGGGGGTTAGCTGCCGAGGGGCAAGTTCAGCGACAGCGAGGGGAACCCCAGTCTGGCTGCGTCCCATTTACCCTGCTGAGCACTGGAACATTACTCGTGTGGACACGGGTCCGCTCCCGCCTCCCTCCTGCTGCTTCCACATGCTCCAAACACTCTCCAGGCGCGACTCACCTTCGCCTCCCTTCCCACAGCGGAGCCGGAGCCGGATCCCCCTTTCTGTCGCCAAACCCCGGCAACCCCTCCGTGCAGCCGAGCGTCTCCCCCAAAGCCACCCTCCCACTGCGAGGCGTAAGTGCAGCACGACCCCAGACTGCCAGCCCCCAGGGCCGCTGCGTTCCCAGCCGGCTGAGCGTAAAGGGGCTTTTCCCTCAGGCACAGCAAGGGGCGAGCTAGCGAGACCTGGCAGATTCACAGGGGGGGGAAGACGACAAGGGGCCTGCTTGGGCAGCTACTGCAGAGCCTGCACTGTCACGCTACTCACGGCACGGACAGCGAGACAAACCAGCCTGAAGGAAACCCCTGCGCAACAAGTCCCCCCCACCACCAGACCCCGACGGGCAAAGAGACCCCCTCCCTCCCCTGTGTGGCGCGGCACAAAGGGGCCTGCGGGGCGAGCGCAAACCTTCTCTCGTGGAGCTCCGCTTTGCCGTCGGCGGTGGACAGGCGCTCCGACTCAGGGCTGTTCACACGACGGTACCTCAGGGAGCGCACCTGCGCGGTAGGGGAGTCTGGAGGCGCCCGGATGGGGGAGGTGGGGCAGATGCCACTCCTCTGCTCCTCTTCCGCCATGCCCTGGGTCTGGGGGGGAACCACAGAGAACGTCAAGGAGCTGACGGCAGCCGGGGGGAGAACCCAGTATGGCACGCCAGCCGGGACGCTCGCTCTGGGTCTGACCCTCTCCCGTCCCTGGCTGCCAGGACAAGGTGGTCCCGGCTCCCCTCTCCGGGCCCCTGCTGGCTGTGCTCAGAGGAACGTGGGGCGTGCTCCCACACGGAAGCTATTCTGCGTGCAGGGAGGTGCCGCGGTTGCGGAGTAACACCGGGCGTGCACGCTCTGACTGCCGGGGGAGGGGGGCTTTTCTGGCTGAGCTTCATGCACCTCCTCGTGTTTGGTGTGACCTGGTCTGTAAACCCCCCCTTTGCAGCCGCTGAGGGAGGGGAGGTAGCCAAGGGAGAACCAACCCTGTGACATCGCCTGCCCGGAGCCCTACTGTGGCTGCCCGGAGCCTGCTTCAGGGCAAAGGGCTGCTTCCCTGGCAGGGGCTGGGGGTGAGGTAGTGCCGGGCTCCTGGCCTGCTGCCCGTTGTGCTGGCAGGGGGAAAACAGTCCCTGGCTCACAGAACTTACCGTCTAATGGGAAACAACACAGGATGTGAGTGTAACAAGCGGAGGGAAGCGGGAGGGGGACCAGAGAGGCACAGAGGTCATGCTGCTGTGCCTGTACAGCAGATAACCCCCCCCCAGTGGATGCAACAATACTGGGAGAGGAGGGAGCTATTCTGGAAGATGAACGGGAAGAAGCCATCAAGGACAAGACATCTGTTCAGCAGCATTACTGCATCCCCGTCGCGGCGGGACTGGCGGGCTCCACCAGTGAGAAACCAGCCCCCGACGAAACAGAGCAGTGACAGGGTCGCCAGCTTTCGAATCTCACAAAACAGTCCCACCCCTTCCCTAAGGCCCCGCCCCCGGCCTGCTCCATCCCCCTCCCTTTGTCACTCACTCTTCTCCACCCTCACTCACTTTCACTGGGATGGGGCAAGGGGCTGGGATGTGGGGGGATGGGGCCTCCAGCTGAGAGTGCAGGCTCTGCGGGAGGGGGCTGTGGGCTGAGATGGGGGTTGGGTGTATGGAGCGTGGGCTCCAGAAGGGAGTTTGGGGTTGGGGTGGGGGGTCTCGGCGGCGCTTACTGCAGCTCCCAATGTCCTGTGGCCCCTTGGCACAGGAAGGGTCTGTGCCCTGCCCTCCCCCACC